TCACCTTCATGTTTTTCTGTGTTTTATCTTCAGCTACTTTGACACAAAGACATCTGCTGTGATGCTCACACCTTTCATAAAGTCTTGCGAGTGTCAGCTTCCATTTTATAGATACAAAAATATGTAAATGTACTGATCTGAATTATAATATTTCTGACTGTCTGAGGCAAAATTTCCCAGATACAAATCGAATTGAATCGAATCGTTTCGGGACCTTGTGAATCAGAATCGAATCGATTCTAGAAATCAGTGAAGATACCCAGCCCTAGTTGTCACATGATTCGGAAGGCATTGTGGGCATTGTAGGCTCAGCCAATCAGAGCCAGTGGATTTTGTTACTCGGGCATTTTGCCGTAACATGGGCAAAAAAATTGCTGTTCAGTGCCTTCGTGACTTGAATTTTTCGTGAAACGGGGTATTCGTAACTCGGGGTTCCACTGTATATAAACATCAATCCCATGTTCGCAATGTCCCTTTTTTTACACACTTTTTTCATTTGTTAAGGTTCATTTAACAGCTTCAGAATCATTATTTAATTGCTGTGTTGTATAAGTGTATTATACATACAGACATACAGATATTTAAAAACTCTTACTAAAAGGAATATGTTTCACTAGACATGTATACCTTTTTTTTTTTTTAATTTTTGCTCAGTTTACTTTTAGTTTTAGAAGTAATATTTAGCTTTTCCTAAATTGATTTATATGGAGATCCACAATCTCAGCTTTCCATTAGAATCAGACGTACTCACACAAATGCTTATTTTAATGAGTCAAATTCTTTTCATTTGCTTTCTGTTTGTGCACATATGATTGGATTCACACTGAGCGCAGATGCATTCAGCTGCCAGGTGCTTGATCCATCAAGCTCATCCCTTTTCTGCCACTGTGTTCCTTTTCCATCAGGATGTTGCACGTACAAACACTGTCTTCCCAGAGCTACATTAACACCCTGTGCTGCATGCTGTCATGGTCAGCTTAGCTTGGATTTTATTTTCTCTGCAATTAAAGTGATTACTGCAGTTAGTCATTTAAAGGTGCGGTGTACAAAATGTGCCATTGATATGTCATCAGGGTTTTAAGCTACACAGAACTGTTTCAGTAGAGCTGGAATTAGTTAAACCAACTTTGCTATTAATCACTTCATAATCTTGTGTGCCACGCTTTAAATATTGGCTTCCATTTTTGACTTGGAAAGCTTGGCAGGAATCTCTGTGATTGAGTGGCTGTGTACTGGCATGGGCTGATTTAGGACATTTAGTTTAGTTTAGAAGTGTGATTAAATAGATAAGACTGCCAGATTGTAATTATATAGATGTTATGAGAATAAAAGTAATGAGAATAGAAGATTTAGTTTATGAGAATCCATGGCTTCATTAAGAGAAGTCAGTCAAAAATTGGTCTAAAAGTAAAAAAAAAAAAAAGAGAGATTAATTTTAGATGTCTAATAAAAACACCAATATTCATGAAAAAGCTGAAAACTAACTCGGGTTAACAATTTCTGATTTTCTAATCCCTATTTGACTTTATTAAGTATGTTTTTGATGTCAGCCGATCAAAATTCATACTTTACTATTATAGGGTTATGTAAAAAAATCCAGGTCTAGAAATTGTAACTTGCTCATCCCTTCTGGCGCCTGTTATAGTGGACTGGAAATATGTCTTTAAATTCATTTTAAACATATAAAGAAGAAACAGCAGTTAACCTCCAGCCTTTTTACACACCTAATGCATCCTTTTCTCTTTCTAATCCATGTGATGCGTTCATGGTGCAGATGTAAAGTTGCGGTTGTGATTCTGTCCTAAATCGAAGAAGAAAAATTAGAGTTATTTAAAAGTTGCATTTAAATACTTTACTAGGCAGTTTGCTACAGTTTAGTAGAGGCTGATTAAAGGTTAGTTCGGAGTTCTGAGGTGACGTTTGTAGTAATGTGCTAAGTTGGACTGATTCTGGACAGACTGTGGCGTTCATAGGTTATATTGAGGCCTTTCGTATGTAAGCTGATGATACTGACTAGATTCTGCATTATCTGCTGTCTAAGGATTGGGCTCAACCATGATACCTCATTTAACATCTGCTGAAATTTAAATCCAGGTAACTAAATCCATAAAGAGAAGTAAACCTCTGCAGCAGTGCAGGTCAGCTTGTCAGAGCCTAAACACAAAGAAAATCTACCAAAAAAGTTATTACATGACTAACTAGTTATTTAACCTCATGCCGCACTGCTCCACCTGATCTACAAAAGGCTGCAAAAGTGTAAAATGGAGCAGCAGAACTGTGGAATAAAAATAAATAATTAAATAAACAAGATAAAGTGAAAAAACAGACATGGAGCAGAGAAATTATGAAAATGATGATGACTGAAAAAGAATCTGTTAATTTAATGGCAGTACATTGCTCCAAAAATAATTGGATTACATGTTTTTCAAATGGAATTTAAAGTTTTTTGTTATAATAAAAAAAAAAGTAATTTTTATATGGCAATGTCTTGCACATAATGTTTGTTTCAGTCAAATATATCCGGAGTTAATAAAATGGACTTGGGTTATTCAAATCAGTTAATAGTCTGGTGGTGACTGCTGTCTTGTGGCTCATTAAAATCAAACTGCTAACTAGCAGTGCTGTGCTCTATTCATAGAGGATATTTGTCATAACACTAATAGAAATTGCAGGTGGTGGTAGTAGATTTCACTTTTACTTCACAGGTAAACTGGACCCGTTTGACTGACAAAACATAATCAATGGGAAATCATCAAAGAACTGAAATTACAGCAACTAGCTG